AAAAGGGGAAAGTACTAGTGGAACAGCCAGCAGATGGCGGCATGATGGTTATGGTTGCTAGACTCCCACATGATTGACTGTGGTTCCAGTCCTGGACCCAGCAACTTAAAACTCACACCAAGTGTGTGTATATGCATGCCCCAAATCTGGAGCACAAAGGGTTGTGCCCCCCCGGGGGGGGTGATTTCTCACTTTCTGTCTCTCTGGAGAGTTCATGAACCCTATAGAAAAAATATCTCTCTAAAAAAAAAGTACTAGTGGAATAAATAAGTAGGATGTTCTGGTTTTGAATGCCGTGCTATGTGTCAGACTTGGGAGTCTGCCTCTAGATCAGTGTTTTCCTGAGTTTCAGGGCAAACTGGTTCACAGGAATGTTCATAGATTTTACAATAACAAAAGGGCTCTGTGATGTCAAGGAAATTTGGAAAACACAGACTTCAAAGAAAGGTTCTTTTTTTTTTTTTTTTTTCCCTGTTTTTTTTTTTTTTTTTTTTCCCCTGTTGTCTTTTACTGTCTTGAGCTTTTAATAAGCTACAGTCTTACCTTGAATCTCTGGGGAGTGGCAAGGTGGCTTAGTAGTGAAGAGGGACCTCCTCTATCAGACCTCACAAATCTTTTATGTGCGGGATGTCTCAAGGAATAATAATGCCCTTCTATAAATAAACTTTCTAGATTACCAATAATGAGCATTAGAAACCAGATATTTTAAGTAACTTGACATTTATTTCCAAAGGTTGGATTTGATGCCATTAGAGTATATAATAAGAGAGTGAAAGCTTTGAGGAAAATACAGAAACTCATCAAAAGAGGACAATTAAGGGCAACAAAGGTGAGGCATCTTTTCCCACTTAAGTTCTTTACTTTCTCTGACAAAAGCAGTCTGATGGTCTAAAATTAAATGTCGTGTCCAGATGTGTATGAGTAGATGACATATGTGTCTGAGAACAGCTGAGCTGTTCTTGTATGCAACAGGGACTCAAAGGGAATAAAATTAAATCAGCAGAGCTCCATGGAAACATAGGGTGTATGATTCTTCCATCATAAATAGCATGTGCACTGTTTTTTAAACCTTATTATTGCTGAAAGGAATAAAATAAGTGTAAATTAATGATGGAAAATCACTCACAATAGAAGGCAGTAAATTAATAAAACTTTGGAAATAATAACTTTTACTCAGACCCTCCTGTCAATGTTCTCTCTTGGCAGTTTCACAATCTTCTAGAAATCAAGTTTTCTGGCTCCTCTGTTCTTCCATTTTTCTTCCTTTCTTCAAAGTTTGGGCTGAGGTAAAACTCATTCCTTAAAAGTTCATCCCCTTGATGTTTTGCTTACCAAGGAACAGTGTGTATAGGGCTTTTAAAATAATTTGAGCTGAATGGTTGAAAGACATTTCAAATTGTTAGCAATTAAGTTGACAGTGTTTCCTTTGTTTAGAATGGCATCATCAGTGATGCTGGTACATCCAATAATGCTTTTGAGCCTGATGAAGATATTGAAGAACCAGAAGAACTTGATATCCCAACTAAGGAAATAGAGATTCAAGTGGATTGGAATTCTGATCTTCCAGTCAAAGTGAATGTTCCCAAAGTGCAGATCCATAGCCTTGTGCTTGATTGTGGAGCTATATCTTTCCTGGATATTGTTGGAGTGAGGTCATTACGAGTGGTAAGGTTCTGGGTTTTTTGTTTTGTTTTCTGTTGTAGATTTGGAACTTTGGCAACAGTGAAATGATATATGCTGTCCAGTCTTGCAAAAGGGCAAATGCATGAACTCTGAATTTTCTAGGTGAATGGCTTTGTAACAGACTGTAATATTTTTGAAATAGAGTGTGATATTTTTGGCTCTGGAGCCAGACTACCTGGGGTAAATCCTGGCTCCATCACTAACAGGCAAGGTGAACATGGGCAAGTTGCTTAATCTATATCTGTTTCTTCACCTGTAATATAGGGGTAATGATGGTATATCCGTAGGCTTGTTATGAGGATTAAGTAAGCTAATAGATATAAGGAATTTAGAAGAATATTTGATAGAGCCAGCAGGGAGTATGGTGATTAAGGCACTGGACTCCTTCATGGCTGGTAGCAGTTTGAATCCCAGACCTGGTGGTTTGCTTTCTCACTTCCCTCTGTCTCTTTGATGAATGCATATGCTCTATAGCAAAATAAATAATAATAATAAATTAAATAATTTTTTTAAAAGAGGTTTTTGCCCTAGAGTGTGTGTGCTCACCAGAGAGAGAGAGAAAGAGAGAGACAAAGATAGTAAGAGAGAAAGTGAAAAATCACCCCTAGGGGATGGCCACACCACAATCCCTTTTCCTGAGATCCTGGAATCTTGGGCATGCATGCACATGCACCCAGTGTTGTTTTCAAGCCACTGAATCCAGCACTCATAACCACTCACTACCTGCTGGTCCCAATAATTCTTCTGTTTAAAGAATAATTTTATTTATTTATTTATTTACTTATTATTATTAATTTGATCAGAGAAAGAAAGAGAGAGAGAGAGCAAGAGAGAGAGGGAAAGTGAGAAAGTAAGCTTCCAGGGTTAGAACTTGAACCTCAGTAAGCCATGAGGGAGTCCAGTGCCCTAGCCACCATACCCACTGCCAGCCCTAATTCTTTACAAAAAGTATCTGACAGGGCCAGCAGGTGGCATGGTGGTTAAGGCTCTAAACTCCCACATGGCTGACTATGGTTTGTGAATGCATATGCTCTATAGCAAAATAAATAATAATAATAAATTAAATAATTTTTTTAAAAGAGGTTTTTGCCCTAGAGTGTGTGTGCTCACCAGAGAGAGAGAGAAAGAGAGAGACAAAGATAGTAAGAGAGAAAGTGAAAAATCACCCCTAGGGGATGGCCACACCACAATCCCTTTTCCTGAGATCCTGGAATCTTGGGCATGCATGCACATGCACCCAGTGTTGTTTTCAAGCCACTGAATCCAGCACTCATAACCACTCACTACCTGCTGGTCCCAATAATTCTTCTGTTTAAAGAATAATTTTATTTATTTATTTATTTACTTATTATTATTAATTTGATCAGAGAAAGAAAGAGAGAGAGAGAGCAAGAGAGAGAGGGAAAGTGAGAAAGTAAGCTTCCAGGGTTAGAACTTGAACCTCAGTAAGCCATGAGGGAGTCCAGTGCCCTAGCCACCATACCCACTGCCAGCCCTAATTCTTTACAAAAAGTATCTGACAGGGCCAGCAGGTGGCATGGTGGTTAAGGCTCTAAACTCCCACATGGCTGACTATGGTTTGAGCCCTGGACCTGGTAACTTGCTTTCTCACTTTCCCCTACCTTGTTCTGTCTTTCTCTCTGATGAGCCCTGTAGCAAATTAAAAAGAAAAAAAAAAGATAAATTAAATAACAAAAAGAAAATATTAACATTTATTATTTTATTTTTCTGATAATGTATAGGAAATAGAATATGAGAACAAGAGAATGTGGGCAAAGTTCACATTAAGTATTGTATTTCTATTTGTTATATGAACAACAGCAAGATAAGGAACACCAGGTATATGTAGGATTGGAAAAGTTCAGCATTATTAAGAAGTTAGAACAGGAAGCAGGTCAGGGATCTAGCAAGTCAAAGAAAAAGTCAAGAAGCAGGCAAGACAGAAAGCATTCACAATATCAGAAACCAGTAATGCAAGCTCCAATTCATTAATCCTTTCACCAAATAGATGCAAAATACCAAGTCTGTGCTAAGCACTCTACCAGTCCCAAGAGTAACTAGTGATTAAGCAGCCACAGTTCCTGTCCTCATGGGACTAAGCAGTCTAGAGGGGAAGGCATTTATGAAGTAATTTTATAAATAACAACTGTATTAAGTCCTCCAAATCAGATAACACAGGGTGTCATATGAAATGTCAAGTTTAGGTGAAGCTTCATATAGTATCAAGATGGTCAGGCAGAAAAGAAGGCAGTTCAGGGCACCTACAATCAGATGTAATAATATGAGACTGATTCCTAAGATTTGGCAAGTAGCTGAATGCGACTGAATTATGAGCAGATGAAGTTATTCATTGTTAAAAATTTTCCTTTTTTAATCTTTAGATTGTTAAAGAATTCAAAAGAATTGATGTGAATGTGTACTTTGCATCACTTCAAGGTAAATGCATATAAGTACATATCTATCTGTATGACTTTCTTCAAGCCCTTTCTCCCACCTTAAATGTGGGCATATGCTATTGAAAAGCCGTTTTTTTCCCCCCAAAACTTTTAAAACATTTTGATAAAGGGTGTATAATGAGCTTTGACATTTTAATCACTTTTAAGTATACAATTAATTCAGCAGCATTACTTACATTCACAATGTTGTGTAACCATCATCCACTATCTATTTCCAAAATTTTTATCACCACAAACAGACTCTGTACCATTTGCAATATCTCTGATAGTATTTTTGAATCCAGAAAGATATTATGTCCAATTATGCCAAAAAGCTAGTAATGTATGGAAACTCATGCTCTTACAGTGGTGGAGGATGAATGGGGGTGGGGAAACTATGGGGAAAGCAGAGCTGGAGAGGACTTAGATCCCTTAGAGCAAGAGAATTCTCAAGGGTGTGAGTCTCTGGAACTGCCTATGTATGAGTTAAGTAAGGGAAGACCAGGGCTTAGGCTGAGCTCTTTGGAAGTAGGGCCTAAGATGGGGATTCTTGAACAAGTGATGTTTTGAGATAGTGTACCTGGACAAATTTTTAAAGGAGTGAGGGGAACAGAATTGTGGAGAGGAAGAAACTGGTCAAAAACACAGTTTCAAAAATCTAGTCTTAGATTTCTGATTTTATAAGGAGTACACAGCAGGAAGAGCACCAGAAGGCTAAGCCTCTTTGAGGCAAGGGGAGCCTGCCTTCTTTCCCCCATGTAAGTCAGTCAACGGTTATAGGCCATCAATGCATGGGAGAGGGGCTGTCACTTTCCACACGTTTTCAGGTGAGACAGCTCCCATGGAAATTTTTTTCAGAGAAGGGCACAGCTGCAAACCATTAGCAGTCAGGCCCACAGCAGCTGAAGGATCCATACACTGGCCTGACAAATGGAACATGGTTGGACACCAAGGCTGTCTGCTATGTTATGGGATGGCTATTCTGAATGCTACTAGAAAAGAGAAGCAGGGCCATGTTTTTAAAGTGAGGGGAAAAATTAGAAGGAGGAGCTACAAAAACTTAGTAGTGGTTGATATTACAAAAATATCTTTTTCTAGATACTAACCAAACATAATCTCTTTCTTTTGAAGATCATGTGATAGAGAAGCTGGAGCAATGTGGTTTCTTTGATGATCACATTAGAAAGGACACATTCTTTTTGACTGTTCATGATGCCATTCTCTACCTACAGAACCAGGTTAAATCCCCAGAGAGTCAAGATTCTATTTTAGAAACGGTAAATATGTAACTTTTCTACATATGTATCTCTCCTAAGTGGCAAAAATGACATAAATAGTAGCTGTTAGATTTTAGGCCATTGCATAACTTCTTGGAATCTTAACATTTCTATCAGTAAAATGGGAGTAGAAACATTTACCTTGCTGGGTAAGTATAAGGACTAAATAAGATAGTTAACAGAAAAAAAAATACTTAGTAGTACCAAGTATGTAATAGTTTTCACAGTGTGTGGGTTTACTTATGAAAATGGGCATTAACAGTAATGCCTTTTTGGAACGTATAGCACTGAATCTTGGATCGTCTTTGACTTGTGTACATAAATGCAACCTAAATTCTTAACAGTTTGGAAGCTCTTGATGTATAAATGTCTTTAAATGGAATTTATCAGGTCATAATGATGTTTGATAAGGAAAAAAATTACAACCACAAATAAACCCAAGGTTAATCTCTCTCCCCTGATTTTCTACAGTTCTTATTTTGTTAATTTTCCTTTTGGATACCCAGGAGAGGTACTCATTCTGGTCTGGTTCACTGGGCTGGGCCTACCTACTGGTGGCCTAGTGTAAGACATCATTTAATCCTTTCTCATGTACCCATGCACGGTGAATTAGTAAACGAAAATAATACCTATCAAAATATAACAACAATAATGATTCTAGTGACATAATGGATTATTATCTTAAATTGCATCCCCTTTTTCTAAATTAGAATAAGTAGATCTTTATTGTAGATTGTAAGTTAATGTTTAAAAGGAAACCAATTCAGTAAACAATATCACATTGTTCTTCCCAATTACTGTTAGTAGAGAGATTTTCTACTGATGCTTCTGGAGAAAATACCCTAAATACCAAGGTGTGAAGCTGAAATATGAAAAAGGAAAAAAAAGTAGTAAAACTACAAATCTAAAAAAAGTTACATGCTAGCTGCTCATTTTGAAAACTCGTAATCCTTTCCTGATCTAATTTCAAATTCTCTAACCCACAGGTAATAACAAAGCAGAATCATGTGAAGTATCTTTAAAAAATGCTCTAAATGATGTATAGTGATTGAATATATAAATAATAATAATAAATTAAAAATAAAAAGTATTCTAAACAAAATAAATAAATAAATAAAATGTGAAAAAGAAAAAAAGAGCAGAACAGATCCCAAGTGTCAATTTCCTTCTCAACATGAAAGTTTTATTCGTACCAATTTTAATCTAAGATCTTAGGCTGTGAATGTCACCAAAACTTCTAATGAAGAGTATATCTACCAACTTAGACTAGATTTTGCTTGTAATGAGACAGGCACTGTAAATTTCTTTCTTTCTTTCTTTCTTTCTTTCTTTCTTTCTTTTTTTTTTTTTTTGACTCTGAACGAATCTTAGACTAAATAAGCAAAATGCTTGAATAAAATACTTACTGCTTCACTGGATGATGAGTTGAGCATTACTGGTGGCCTGTGAAATCAAGAACCTTATGGTTCTACATTTCCTCAGGGTTTTAACACAGAACTCTGTACATGGTAGATGTAGGTAAATGATGATAAAAACAAAACAAAACAAAACAAACACAAATAAATAAACCTCTGTGGCACTTTCATTTCTTTCAGGAATGTATATTATGGATACTCTGGCTGCAGTGATATCTCCCTTTCTCTCTCTCTCTCTCTCTCTCTCTCTCTCCTTTTTTCCATCACAAGAACAATCGCAGGACAGCACTGACTCAGTTACACCTACCCTCCATGTTTTCTAGTATATCATGACCATTGGCACAGGGATTTTATCCTCTAATTCAATTTCACACTAACAAAGAGAACTGGCCTATTTGTGAGATTAAAGAAGTTAAATAGCACTCCAAAATGTCCTTTTAGTCTCGACATACATTTGGAGGTGCTTTGAAAATACGAAGTTGCTTTGAAAATGGCGTAAGATAAAGCCCAAACTGTTGTTGGTTCCTTTTTTGCAGAAGATTAAATTACATGCTACCCCTAAAATGCAGAAATTTCCTAAATAACCAACCTGGTCCATAGACATTGGTTTCCATCGCCAATAAAATTAATTTCTATCCAATTCCACTTGGGGTTGTTTACTGACATCAGTCACAAGCCCTTCTATGTGCATGCACTGCATGTTCAGTGTGGTACTAAATGCTCTTAGCTTAGCCACTGAGAGAGAAGCAGGAAGAATTTAGGCAGAGAGGGTGATTAGTTAAAATGTATGCACTTCAAAGGTTGGGAAAGAGAGCTGAAAAGCAGTTTAGACAATAGAGTATTATACTAGTTCACACCTGAATGTGAAAAAAATGATATAGGGAAAATTCTGAGGTGGTAAATATAAAAGAACAAGAAAGCTGAAGAGGATTATGAAGTATGTAGATTATAGTATGAGAAGCACCAGTAAAGCTTCAAATAATTTTCTGTGCTGTATTAGGTGGGTGGATGCTATTATATTTCTAATAATATTCTGCATTCTCTTGGTCAAGATCACTCTCATTCAAGACTGTAAAGAACCTCCTGAATTAATGGAAGTGAAGCTGACAGAAGAAGAACTTGATGTCCAGGATGAGGTATGATCATTGTTTTTTTTCTAAAGGAATTAATTTGGATGGAATCCCTTGACAAATAGAGTAATACAAATAGTGAATATATCTAATTAAGAACTAGGGACCAGCAGTTGGCATAATGGCTACGTCGCTGGACTCCCATGTAGTCGACTGCAGTTTGAGTCCCAGACCTGGGACTTAAACTCACACCAGGCGTGTGTGCATATGTGTCCAAGATCCTGAGAGGAGAAGGGATTGTGGTGTGGCCATCCCCCTCCAGGGAGTGATTTCTTGTTTTCTGTCTCTCTGTCTCTCCAGTGAGCACATGCACTCTATAGCAAAAACCTCTCTCTCAATTAAAAAAAAAAAAAAAAAAAAAAAACTTTTGGGTTGGGGCCACAAAGTAAAAAAAAAAAAAAAAAAAAAAATAAAGAACTGTTGGGTTGGGGCCAGCAAGTAGTGTAGTGGTTAAGGCCCTGGACTCCCTCATGGATGACCACAGTTCAAATCCCTGACCCAGTGGGTTTAAACTCATGCCAGGCACATGTTCATGCATGCCCAAAATCTAAAGAGGAGAATGGAGAAGGATTGTGGCATGGTCCTCCCCTGGGGGGTGATTTCCCACTTTCTTTCTGCCAGTCTCTGTCTCTCCAGTGAGCATATGCACCCTATGACAAAAAAGCTCTCTTTAAAGAAAAAGAACTATTGGGCTGGCCCTGTAGACCAGCAGTTGGCGTAATGGTTGAAGGAATCAGATCACACAAGGCCAAGCCATGTGATTCAAGTACGGGACCCAGCAGCTTGAAAAACATGCCAGGCACATGTATAGGTGTGTCCCAAATCCCAATAGGATGGAAAAATGGAGGAGAAGGGATCATGGAGTGATCATGTGTGGTGTTTTCTCTCTGTCTCTCTCTGGTGAGTACACACACTCTATGCCAAATTAAAAAAAAAAAAAAAAAAAGATGGGAACCAGCAGTTAGCGTAATGGCTATGTGGCTGGATTCCCCCGTAGTTGATCATGGTTCGCGTCCCGGACCCGGTGGCTTAAAACTCACGCCGGGCGCGTGTGCGTGTGTGTCCAGGATCCCAAGAGGAGAATGGAGGAGAAGGGACTGCAGTGTGACCATCCTCCCTGGGGGGTGATTTCTCGCTTTCTGTCTCTCTGTCTCTCTCTGTCTGGTGTGCGCACGTGCCCTATAGCGAAAACGTCCCCCACCCCCACCCCTCAAAAAAAAGAGAAGAAAAAGATACATTTAGGGAACATAGTTTTAAAAAATACCAAAAGTTTGGTTTTGGGGAAAGTGGAAAATGACAATTTTCCTTTGAAGACATTAAATACTTGGAGACATGGGACCAGCAGATGGCTTAATGGTTACGTCGGACTCCCATGTAGTTGACTGTGGTTCAAGTCCCCTGGGGGGTGATTTCTCGCTTTCTGTCTCTATGTCTCTCTCTGTCTGTCTGGTGAGCGCACGCGCCCTATAGCGAAAAAAAAAAAAAAACCTCTCAAAAAAAAAAAAATTATGCCAGGCAAGTGTGCATGCATGCCCAAAATCCCAAGAGGAGAATGGAGGAAAAAGAATTGTAGCATGGTCATTCCCTTTGAGGAGTGATTTCTCTCTTTCTGTCTCTGTCTCTCAGGCGAGTGCACATGCCCTATAGCAAAAATCTCTCTAAAAATAAATAAATAAATAAGGACTAGCAGTTAGCGTAATGGCTATGTCGCTAAACTCCCGTGTAGCACAGTTTGAGTCCTGGACCCAGTGGCTTAAACTCAAGCCGGGCCCGTGTGCGTGTGTGCCCAAGATCCCGAGAGGAGAATGAAGGAGAAGGGATTGCAATGTGGCCATCCACCCTGGGGGATGATTTCTCACTTTCTATCTCTCTGTCTTTCTGGTGAGCACACATGCCCTTATAGCAAAAATCCCCCCCCCCAAATAACTAACTAACTAACTAAATAAATAAATAAATAAACACATAAATAAAGTAAGTATATGGGGACACTCTGCCCTGGGCATATAGGGATGAACAACTAGCAGCAGTTGACACACTTTCTAATGCTGGTTCACACACTAGACACCTCCACCTACTTCTGTTCTAGAGACCTAAACTGTGGGGTAAGGGAAAGGAGAATAGAGCAAATTTCTAACCCAGGAATAGTACATGAGAAATAGGAAAGTTATGTTATTCCTTTTCTGTCCAACAGTCACTTAAAAAGACATTTCTTCCACCTGAGACTGATTCTATGCATTTCAGATGCTCTTGTGGCATCAGACCATTCCCAGACCATGGCTGGACTTACAGTGTCTGTGTGAACATTGAGGCTCCACCACTGAGTAAAATGGGAACAAAGGAAGATCACACGTTTTTAAACTGAAAGACTTTATGGAAATTGTCAGTATCATAGCTTATGAACTCCTTCCTGCATTATCCTCGATGGACTTCCACTCAGCTTTTGTGAAAACATGGCCAGACATTAGCAAATAGTGACTTTTAGGGAGTTTGTGTGTCATGGTTCTTAGAAGTATCTAAATGTTAGTTGGGCTTACAAAACTGAATTTGATTTTTCTGTAAAAATCCCCAAGTGGACTGAGATCTGCCTTCTTAGCAACACAAATCTTTCCACTATACAGCCTTTTAAGCACAGGAGAATAGCTCTCATGTCTCCTCTAGAACTCCTCTAGGCAAGACTCCTCCAGGTTGTTTTTTTTTTTCTTTTACCATTCCTTAGAGACATGCAGTTTGGCCATACTTCATTGGCCAAGATGGGGATACAAAAGTCCAAATGTGGTCAGGTCAGCATGGAGATTATGCAATCATGATCTGCCTTGATCTTGTCAAGATACTTCTATTACTGCAACTTAAAATTTGTTTGCTTTAAGTGCTACATCAAAATCTTGGCTTCTGTTTAGCAGGAGTTACCTAAAGACTTGACACTTTCACACAAATTGTGGTCTACCTGGGTTCTCCACTTATATTTCTGTAATTGGTTTTTTTACTCCAATGCAGTACTACACATATTTCTGCTGGATTGCATCTCAGGTGGTTCCAGTTTATTGACATATGTCATGACTTCTCCGACAACCCAGTAGTTTTGTATTTTGTGTCTATTATCTGGCATATTAACTCTCTTCCCCACTGGTCCTATATGCAAGTCTGATACATATTCCTTTTCTCCATTTTTCCATGTCCTGATAAAAATGTTGAAAGGAGTAACATTCAGCCTCTATGATAAAATCAGGCAGTGGGGATGATAGGCAGAGGTTTTTGTGGAGAAAATATATTTTTCAGAATGAAAAAAATCACATCGTCATCTACCAGCTTAGGGAACTCCAAAGTCAACGAATCCTTCCAGTGTTAGCAGTTTATGAGGGCAGCTTTAGGTTAAGTAAAAACTCTTATCACCAATATCGGAACTTAAGAAACTACTACAGTATAGAATATTTACTGATTGCCATGTAAAAGAATCACTCAGGTAAGGTTTCTATAGATGGGAAGTAGATGGTTTCATGGGCACAAGCTTTAGAACCAGACAGACCTGGGTATCAGTCCTGGTTCTGCTATTTCTCAGCTGTGCAGTAAGTAATTACCCTGGGCAAATTACTTACTGTCTTAGTATCGTCACATAAAATAAAAGTAATACCACAGAGTTGTGGAAGCTAAAGATGCATGTAAAGTAGTAACAAGAACAGTGTCTTATACATAGTAGGTGCTCAATGAATAGTAATTTAGTAATTATTGTTTTTGTTTGTTTGTTTTTGTATTTTGTTATAGGGCACATGCACTCGCCAGAGGAGAAGAGAGAAAGAGAGAGAGAATGTGAGAAATCCAGGGAGGATGACCACACCACAATTCCTTCTTCTTTATTTTCCTCTTTGTTTTTTTTGGCAAACACACATGCACATGCGTGAGTTCTGTTTTTTCAATCCCTCAGGTCTGGGACTCAAACCTCACAGGAGGCCATGTGGGATCCAGCTGCCTTAACCACCACACCACCGGCTGGTCCACTGCTTTTAAATACATATGATTAAATATGATGAGGTGAAAAATTAAGTTTTTAATGTTCTTCTACTATGATGATATATATACTCTAAAATGAATAAAAGTAAACAGTCAACACTATAAAAACAAATTTGTAAAAAAGGTAATGTAGACTTGAGGAGAATTCAGTTGCATTAACATTTTGTTTCCCTTTGCTCCCACAGGCTATGCGTAGTCTTGCTTCCTGAAAGTGGGCTCAGGAGGCCACTAGAAGCATAGACGGCAAGACAAAATTTACCCACCAGTGTCATTCTATGCGAACATTTTCTGCATTGACTAGTTCTTCAGACTTGAAACACTCATTCTTTTTCTATTATATATTTTAACTTTGTTTTTTAACCTTTTAGCCATTGAAAGAGAAGCACTAAATCGTTCCTAGGCTTTATCTATATAATAGATTACTTCTAAAATGTACAAAATGGGGAGGAGAGTTATGCAGGCAATTTGGCAATGCCCAGGATGTGGTATGCTGCTGATTCCCCAAGACAGGTTTGCTAACAATGTTCATGTGCATACCAGCATATCTAGGTTCAGTTGAAAGAGCTACACAACAGCCCCCATGGGTAGGTGTGTTAGGAATGACTAATCATGAAGGAAAATCAGTTTCGGACTGACCTTGAGATCCATGAACTGCAACCCCAGTTAAAGTCACATTCAGTAAATGCTTAAATGTAATTACAATGCACTTATTGATAAGAAGCCTTCCAAAATCATTTTTAGAAAATAAGGACAAGTAAAACTTAATCATGCAGTCTTATTATTTGTGACCAGATGTATAAATAGAATTTAGGTGCTCTCTCATCTTGGAAGTGGTTTGCTTAAAACTACAGAACTGGGTTGATACATTGGGTTGTCAGTAACGTTCCGACAACCCAATATCTTGGAAAGGTTGATGCAGAGAAGTGAGTACAAAGAATATTTTCATGGTTTACAGAATAATTTTTCAATGATTGTGATCCAGTCATGGATCACAATTAAGATCAAACAAAGTATATGAAAGACTATCTTTTTTCTTTGTTTTCTTTTTATGATAAACTAACTTTAGTTCAGGGTTTTTTTAGTTTGTTTGTTTTTGCTATAGGGCACATTAACTTCCTGGAGAGAGAAAGGGAAGGTGAGAAATTCCCTCCCCCCAGGGGTGATCCATTCTCCTCCATTCTCCTCTTGGGATTTTTGGCATACATGCATATGTACCCAGCATAGTTTTCAAGCCCTGCAGGATTCAGGACTTGAACTGTGCAGTCAGGCATATGGGATACTGCACCTTAACCACCATGCCACCTGCTGGTCCTTAAAAGTGCAGTTTCAGGCCCAGTTCTGTGCCTTCTTGGTTAACACAGCTGGATCCCACGTGACTGATTCTGTGGTTTCAGTTCCAAGTCCAGAGGCTTGAGAAATACACTGAGGCGAGTGTGCATGCATGCCCAAAATCCAAAAAGGAGGGAGAGATACGATTCTCAAGAAAAGATTGTAGTATTACTGTTTGCCATGGGGGTGCTTTCTCCCATTCCTTCTCTCTGTCTCTTTAGCAAGTGCATGTGCCCTCTGGTAATTAAAAAAAAAAAAAAATGCAGTCTTAATTTATCCTATGTTTAAAGAAATAACCATTGCATTGCATTGGCATGATCTATTTTAAATCTAACAGGAAAACTCTGCTTATATTGTGCAAAAATAATTTTTATATGGTTATAAGACCACAGTGATCAAAATGAGTTTAAATTTTTCTTTAAAATTTTAGCAGTTTATAAAATAATCTATAACTGAATTGTTACTACTTTTCAAAAATAAATCTATGAACTGCCTATAGTGATCAGTTTTCATATCAAGTTGGTTGATCCTGAATTCTGGTTATATTATGGTCACAGCATAATTCAAATTATAATGCTATCTCACTTTTATAGGAATAACCTGCTAATAATGGCAATAAATCGAAACTCTAAAGAGTGAATGTAATAGTCTTGCAGGAAATGGATGAATACCTCTGTTAAATAGAGGAAATAAGCACTGCTCATTTTTGGAAAGAAATACCAAAGTTACACTTTACAATAGAGCTAGCATTTTGTAAACTCTTGGGTCCATTTGTAACAATATAAAACCTTTATCTTACTTTCCAAGCACACTCTAGCAATAATGTATCCTTTGCATTTTGTAAGTAGTAGCATACTTTTGATCTTGTATTGTTAATGAAATTTTTACTTGATATTAAGGTTGTCTGTTATATTTTTAACCTGAAGGATATGATTCCAGTATTGTATATAAATTTCTATAGTTGAAAATAATCAAATTATGTATATTTGGAAATGTTTGCACATATTTTAAATAAATGTAAAGTTGCTTTGTAAACTTCTTAGATGTGTCTTTTCTGAACAAAACCATTAAATATAATAAAAACATCACATTCTAAGTTCACCATTATTCTTTTTAGTCATCAGTTTGGTGTATTCTTTTTAGGGCCACCTCCACTGGTGTCTGTGTAACTTCCTTTTGTAGATTTCTCAGTGCAATTAACAATGTTACTCACAAATATCTCAGTGAAATCTTGTCATTCTTTCCCAAATAATTCTAGCTATTTTGTGTGATGGTTTTCATTATGTTAAGCAAATTTTTCATTCTGGTACTTCATACATATAAAAAGGATGTAAGTCCTAGTGTACTGCTTAAAGAATGTTCACAAAACAAGCACACCTGTACTGCCTACACCCATATCTACAAGCAGAACTTAACCAGCACCCAAGAAGCCCTCTTGTGCTCCTTCCCAGTAATAGCCCCCAAGGATAATCACTTCTAAAACCTCCTTCTCATCCAGCATAGAAACAAAACAAATATTTTTTCTCCTTCTCTTTTGTGTCTGTCATTTTTCACTCAACATTACGATTGTGACATTCATTCATATTATTGCATATATTGGGTCATCAGAAAAGTTATGATCTATTTTTCTGTTTTACTATGCAAAAATGTGTCATGACTTTTCAAACGACCCAATAGAAATCATTCATTTTTTTCTCCCTTTTGTCTAGTGTTTCACTGTCTCAATTTACCACTGTTTATTTATCCATCCTACTGTTTGTGGATATTTGTGTTGTTTCTGGTTTTTGGCTTTCATGAATAGTGCTGCTATGAACATTCTTGTGAGGCACCCTTCAATGTTCCAGAAATACTTGGTTGGGGAGGGGTCTTCTTTCTGGGGCTTAGACCAATGGGATGAGAGTCAATGAAACTAGAGTCATTTTCCATTTGCATCAGGATAGATACCTGAAGAAAGTTTAGTTTTAGTTAGAACAGAAAGCATTTGTCATGTAAATAATGTAACAATATAACAATACAACAAATGACAAATGATATCACAAAAGGCACACAAACTTTAATTTAATCAGTTCTTTTGGTTCCATAAGAAAGTCACATGATGGATAGCTAGAAAGAATGGGAGAGGCCCAGCTGTGGTGGTGCAGTGGTAATGTGCCACGTTGCGATGCTGGAGCCATATGCAAGATTGGAGTTCGGCTCCTCAGTACGCCTACAAGACCCTGCTACCTTCTCTCTCTCTCTCTCATGAAATAAATAAACTCTAAAAAATGAGAGAGAGAAAATGAAGGGAGAAGAAAAGGAAGGTCAGAGGGAGAAAATAGAGTGAGAAAACAAAAGGTGATAGAATCACCAATGAAGAAAATGGCATTAGGGAAGAGCTGAGGTTTAGTATCCTTCCCCTCAAAGCTCCTAAAGTATGTGCTGGAACTCGGTTGTATTGTGAACTTATTAAGAGGAAACTTAGTACCTTAATGGTAGTGAAAGGTCGGCCTTTGTGAGTGATTACAGTGGAGCTCCTCTGACTGACTTCTAGAGGGTTTATAAGGAGACCCACACACGTGAACACACAGACACATGAGCTCCTGTTCTCTCAGGATGTGCTAGGACTCCTCCCAATAGTGAAAACTCTTAGCATATGCGGCCCCTGGACCTTGGTCCTCCAAACTGTGAGCTGAATAAATAAATGTTTATTCTCTTAAATTACCCAGACTTGAGTGCTTTATTTTTACTCATATATATTTTTTGTTATTAACAATGCAATTGACTAGAATAGAAAGGGAAAAAAATAAGAAAGAGGAAATTAATGGAAGAAATAGAAAAAAAGAAAGACTAAAATAAAAAGAGAGAAGAATAGAGCAGTTAAGAAGAAGCAGAAAGGAAGGGTGGGACAGAGAATTTGGAAGAGGGAAAAGAAAATTGAAGAATTAATTGTTTCTCTTTCTGTGCTCTACCTTGTACTAGAACATGAGCTCCACCAGGGCAGGGTGCTTTTGTTCTTGGACAGATTCCAAGCACTTACAAGAGTGTAGAGTACAAGATATACATTATATGTACTTAACATTACTAAATGGGGGCCAGCAGACGGCATGGTGGTTGAGGCACTAGACTCCCACATGTCCTACCGTGATTCAAGTCCCAGACCTGGTGGCTTGCTTTCTCACTTTCCTTCTCTCTCTGAGGTGAGCACAGGTGCCCTATGCTGAAGTAAACCACAATAATGATAATAAATAAATTGAAAGTACACATATTGCTAGATGACCAAATTTAGCTGCAGTCAACGATGCAGAATAAGGAGAATGGAAGTCATCAAAGTACCTAAGAAATTCAGTTTCCTGAGTGTTCAAGCCTATTTCTATGGCCTACAACTCACTTACTAACCTGCCTACTTTTCTTACTGGTCTTCAAAAAGGGGCTGGGGATTCACCTGGATACTAACAGAGTGCCAGGGAGTTGAAAGCCCTCTTAGCTTCTATATCCATTTAAAATTTTCTGGCCACCATAGCCCATTTCATCCTTTTCTCTAGAAATATCTTTGAACCTGGACAGAGAAATACTGTTTTTGAGTAAGATCTTCTAGTTTGAAGACCATTTCCAATGCATTGTTTTAGGTCAAGTGTTCCAGTACTCTGAGTCTCTTTCTCCCTCCTTGAACATATTTTATTGTGAAATAAATATAGTTTCCACAGAAACTTGTGAAGTGCAAGGCAAGATCTTCATGCAGCCTTCACCCAGCCTCACTTAACATTCTGTATGACTACAGTAAAATATAAAAACTAGGAAATTGGTGCTAGTGCACACCTTAGAGCTTCTTCACATATTACTTGCACTCATTTGCAGTTTTATCCCATGTACAGCTTTGCATAAATACCACTGCAATCGAGAAACTCAACTATACCATCAGAACAAGACTCTGTGTCTGTTTAGAAAGCACTTGAAGTGGAGAGCTGCCTCTCCACATCACACCGCCCTCAGACTTATGGTTGAACAAGGACACTCTGAGTGAAAAGAGCACTTCTGGACAGGGTAAGTTGAACATCTAATATTCTACTGTAGAATTTGTTTGCAATGACTTAGTGAGACTCCAATAATAACGTGCTTGTCTTCTGCAGCTTCATTTTTTTAACCCACTACTATCCCAGTCATGGAGTTCTAGCCTGCACAGGAGGAACATCAAAAGGTCACCCTTAAGATGTGCAATAATGTTCCAGGTCCTTGGTCAACCAGTGCTGCAAGTGGCAGATGCTCTTCAGAAGGAAGGCCAGGCATGGCTCTCTTCAAGGCAACTGTGAAGTATGGGTGACCTACATAACACTTGAGGATGGCTCTTATCCCTTATGTTGATAAAGTAGTCATGCCTACCTTTTCCAGTTGAATTCACTTCCTAGCTCATGAATTCGTAGTGAACCAGCATAGCAGAATCCTTTAACCCATTCTCTCAAGCCTATACCATGTACTAAAGGGGGAGGCCTGGACATCCTTCTAAATCCTAGCTCAGAAATATCTGAGTAGGAGAGGTAGAGACTATCAGAATGCACTTGTGAGCCCTACGCCTTCTCCTAGTAAGCTCCCAATTAAGTGGGTAAGGGAAGGAAGTGGTGAGAAATGAGACTGGAAGGTGGACTGGGGCCAGATAAACTACAGTAAAGAGCTTGGATTTTATCCTCTGGTCTGGTAAGAGATAAAGGCAAAATGACTGGGTTACATTACCTAGCTAATCCAATCAGCTGATCTGGGTACCTAGAAATAA